GACCCCTTCAGTCCGCAGGCCGACGCCCTATCCATTGAGCCAAACCGGTTAGGGCCCCCCCCCCTTTTTTTAATTAAAAAAAAAAAAAGGACAACAGCCAATGTAACAATAGCTGTCCAGTGTGGATGATTCAAAATTATACCGTGTTTTGCTTTTTTTGTCAGATCGGCAAAAAATATATTTTTGCTGTGTCCCAGAATTTTAGTAATTAGTTTGTGTGCTGTGAGATGAAAAAGGTTGGAAATCGCTGACTCAGATGGTGAGATAGCGGTGACTAACGGCACATTTCAGCTCCTCAGTATACCAGCAGTCTGACTTTGGGTAAGTCACTGAACTTCAGTGCTCTGGTTTCTCGTCTGGGAGTTGGGTAATAATAGTAACTGCCTCATAGAATTGTTACGGTACATGAACTAGTTCATTCGTGGTTAGCGCTTTTCTGGAACATTGGAAATGGTCGATAAGTGTTAGCTGTTGTGACGATCATGGAATACACAAATAGCGTGAGCCACCTTTATGCCATCATTATTTTCTTTTTCTTGATAAGGAGCATGTTCACTGAAATTTCATAATGAAGACAGTGATGGAGATACATTTCAGTGGGATCTAGGAGGTTTGGTTATGTAAACATTGGACCTCCCAGATGGAGGAAATGGTGTGCGTGAACTCTGACCCGAGAAACCTGGGATTGTCCCAGGAAAGGGGAGGAATTCAGGTGGACTGCAGTGTAATATGCTCCGTGGGAGCAGTGGGCGATCCAGTGGGAATAGAGATTTGGGGTCAGCCCTTGGAGGTCCTGAGATGGCAGGCCAGGGTTTGGGACTGTGGGCCTTTGAGTACTGAGATCCCTTTGCCGGCGAGGCACAGAGGGGATTAGAGGGAACAGGACCTGGGCCAGGAGACAGCTGGGAGGCTGTTGAATTAGTAGGACTGGAGAAGAGGAGGTGGCATTGCTAGCACTTCAGAATGGATACAGTGGGTAGGTGGGTCTCAAGCATAGCTAAGTGCCGCTAACAGGCATAGGGAACTCTGGCGTAGGGGTGGTTTAGGATAGAGGAATATGATTTCAGTTTGGTGAATGTCAACTTGAGGTACATACAGATAGGACAACCCCAAAAAAACACACCCCTTTGATAGAAATTCAGAAGTGAATGCAGGCAAAGAGATCAGCTTCAGAGATAAGGCGCCTCCGTTCTGAGAGTGCCAAAGACAGAACAGAGGAGACTGCCGGAGACCATGCCCACAGGCTCAGAAGGAACCCCACATTCTTTGGACAGAAGCAGCTGGGGCATGAAGCAGGAAGCGCTGGAGTGCGGGGTTTGATTCCGTTGCTCTGTGCGAGTTAAACCTCTCCTCATATTTCCTGCGTGCCTTCCAGTTTTTCAATCTGTTCATGGACCAAAGGAGAAATGCCAGTTTCCCTTTTCCCCATCACATACTGAGGGGCAGTAACTCCCAGGATTCCTTTAATACTTGGCCAAGAATTAAATTAAAATGGCATTATAACATTTACACATTTTTTTGTTACAAAGTTAGAAGACAGAGACTCTGAAGACATACCTTCAAATTTAAAAAAAATTTCAGGACCAAACTGTTTTATAACCCTTCATTTTGTGTGTGGTTTTTCCGTGGGTATAAAAATACTCAGTGGGTGTGGGGGTGGTTTCTCGTGTTTTGGAAATGGTGAGAATATGAGATGCTGAGCACTGGGTCCTGGGATGAGAGCTGTAATTACTAACTGATCCTTTACCGGGATTGGCTCCTGGGTGGATATCTGAGTTTAAAAACCCACCCTCCAGAATCCCGAGCGATGAGCCACTCCCCCTCCTGATCCCTGGAAATTAAAATTGTGGCGGAGAGGAGAGGGAAGGTAGGATGGTGGTTCCTCTGGGCCTTGTCTCCTCTTGTGCCATTTGCCGAGTGTTCGAATCAGGGATGTGACAGAAATGAAGGCTGGTGTGGCTTCTCCTAGCCTGACACACAGCAGCCACTGCACAGCTGTGATGGAAAGAGGTCTAAATATAACCCAGACTCATTTCAAATCCTCCTCCCCCAAGTCTTGGCGGATGTGGTACACGCCCTAAAAATACCTGCTGTCTGAACCTTGAGGTATCTGAAGAGGGAGGGATGGATGAGAGTGTGGTATTTGGGGGCGGATGGGCCAGCTACCAGGCCTGCTGCTGCCTGGGGCCTGCTCCGGAAGCTGTTGGTGAGCTGCCCACCGTGCCATCCTGTTCAAGGATAAGTGCCCACTCTTGAGGCTCGTATTCACTGTTGGCAGGTTTCAAGGAAACTATTCATAGACTGAGCATCTGTTCTCTGTCCCATTGACCTCAAGCCTGCAGCTGCCACCATGGTATTCAGGCAGCATGATGGCTTTCAGTCTTGTTCAGAGAATCAGGATTTTAGAGCTGGCAAGGACCTTAGACATTATAGTGTTCATAAAACAGTCCCTTAAAATCACTACGTTCAATGAATAACATTTCTCTGCCTCTGTAGTGATCCTGGTGATTTGGATGTGGCGTCTCAGTTCTAGATTACTAAAAGAAATCCCTCCCATCATTATCTAACACAAATAGGCATAATGAAAACCTGCATTTTATTTTTTTTAAATGTTGACTAAGTGACGCTGGCCAATGCGATTTTTTTATTTTATTAAACTGTAAATTTGAGGCTCTTTTTTTAATCTAAAGTTTAGCATTTTGAATATAAAGTTCATTGGCAACATAGCCAGAACACTAGGAGTCGTGTTTTCAAGAAGGCTTTCAGTATCCAGTTTCTGGAATGCCAAGCCATAACTGTGGTATTGTAACTGAAGGACCATCGCTAACCTCTGCTTTCCTGGGAAGGAAAGATTTCGCAGGTCATCTCCAACACCCTTGGGATGCCTTCAAAGTCATGGAGGCAGTAGGCATCTATATATATAAAAGCCTAAGTTACTGTTCGATGGGTAGCTGTGACGTGCACTGACCACCAGGGGGCAGACGCTCAACGCACAGGCATGGAAACGTGGAACAGACTGATGAATCTCAGAGGGAAGGGAGTCGGGGGAGGGCGGGAAGAGATTAACCAAAGATCTTATATGCATACTAGAGTCCTGTTGCATGGATTCGTGCACTGGTGGGGTCCCTTGGTCTGGCCTGCGAGGATTGGGCTGAAAACCCGCAATCCAACATCCCCCTAGGGGTCCCGGATTGCGAGAGGGTGCAGGCCAGGCCGAGGGACCCCACCAGTGCATGAATTCGTGCACCGGGCCTCTAGTCATTTTATAAAACAGCATAACTCACCCAACTTTTGAAATGTATAACTGCCTAATCCCGCCTCCTTCAGTAAACTCTGAGACGGTTGGATGAGGAGCCTGGCTAGGAGCCAGGTAGGGGAGAGCAAAGAAGCCCTAAGAAGCCTGCCCAGCTAATGGGGGAGATGGGAACGGTTCATGTGCTGAGTGGTTTTAAATATGTGACATTATGGTAGTTGCAGAATTTCCATAGTTGTAACAAGAATGTACCCTCCACTGTGAGCGTCTCGGAGCTTCTTCCATGTATCTGGAAGAGTGTTATTTAGTTTTTACTGTGGGTTGAAAGTCATTTGGAAGTTTTTCTTGAGTGTTCAAAGCTACCAGAATGGCTGGAGTTTTTTATGTCTCATACTACGTATCTGAAATAGTCACCTCTAGAAGCTCAATGTTCCCTGGATCAGTGCCCGTGTAACCGGGAGTAAGGTGTGCTGGAGACCATTCACTTGAGAGTGGATGTGATTTTGTGAAAAGAGCGTGGCTTTGGATTGTTAATCCCTTCAGTTGTGTAGAAGCCAAGGGGGGTGTGGGTAGAGAGGCCAGCTCTTTCTCCCAGGCACTCCAGGAAGAAAGGAAGGGAGAGGGTGTTGTCCATACGTGTGGTACCCAGGTGGCGCAGTTCATGGATTCTCAGACATTTCCCCTCTGCAATTCCAGAATGAAGAGCTCCGAAACTTGTCCCTCTCTGGCCATGTTGGATTTGACAGTCTTCCTGACCAGCTGGTCAACAAGTCGACTTCTCAAGGGTTCTGTTTCAACATCCTGTGTGTTGGTAAGTGACCCATCACCTGCTGCCGGGCATGGAGCCTGACCTTCAGCTGGCAGGTGCCTGTGAGAGAGACTCATTTCAGGGAAATAAGCAGAATGACATTTTCACTTTTTTGTTTTTCCATTAGTAAAGCAGGACAATAATACCCATGTCTATATGTCCCACTGTTACAAAGATTCTTGCATTTGGGTACATGCTTTGTAAGGTTTGTGGTGTTACTCAAACTGTTTTTACTTAGTGGTCAGTTTAATGTTGTTATTAAATCATTTATTTTCATTTTTGATAGGGGGAGGGACTTAGACCCTAACTAGACACTAGTTAAAAGCAGGAACTGAGATGTACATACATAGTAAGACCACTCAGAAGCCTGTTAAGCATGTGTTGCCGGGGTCCGTAACTGCAGTGCACTAGTAACCTTCATTAGGGGTCTTTTAAAAGATATTCTACCTACAGTATGTAAAATCTGAAACTACTCTACTTTAATACACGTATAGTGTTTAAAATGTTTGCTTTGAGAGCAAAGACAACTTAAAATTCTGTTTCATGTTTGAAATAAACTTTCTGCCCAGTTGTCAGATTAACCTTTCATCCTTAAGTTAGAATCTAAAATTGACCTAAATTTATTCCTGGTAGACAGATGGCAAAGGTCAAAGAGATCTGGCTTACTTGTATCCTCAGTACATTTTATTCATACCCTTTAAAACATCACTCATTAGCCCAGGCCACTGGCTGTGGTATTTTTCTTCTTCCCTCTGGTCGTATCCCTTTTAAGCTGAGAGGAGGAAGGTAGAAAAGAAGGTGGAAAGGGGGGAAGGCAGGATACAGATCTCCTGTTGATCTGAAGCAGAACTGCTCCTGGGACAGATGATGGCCTTTCCGGAGACAGGTCGCTCCAGATGGATGAGTGGCCGGGCTGAGCCGCAGGGCAGTGGTTTGGACGGCACTGGTTTGTTGCCATTGTCCGCTGGGCATGGACCCCCAAGACTTCACTCTGAGGTAGAGCAACAGGAATTCTGTGTTTCTGTAGAGCCCAGTGGACACGGGCTTGGCAGAATGTACCATACTCACTTCTCTTGTCCAAGGAGAGTGAAATGAATTTAGAAAAGGCGTGCACTCCATGTAAGAACCACCATTTTTTAATATGATCCCCATGGGGGGAGGGGCAGGTGTTCCCCTGTTTGGAAGTATTTGAACATGTTGCATGCAGCTGCTGCACTGGGTGCTCATCAGCAGAAAGCCACCATTGATTGGCACACGGACCGGCTCGCTCTCTGGCGTGAGGTCCAGGACCAGGCAGCCAGCTCTCCTGCTTGCTTTCTCCTTTTCCCTACGTGAAGGGAAGCCGTTTAAAATTCAGCAGGGCGCCTCCTGAGTGGCAGCTAGTTCTACAGCGTGGCGTAAATGAATTGCCTTTTCTCTTACAGTAAATGCTGCTTGCAGAGCCTGCAGTTCCTCATTAGCATAGCAATTTGTTGGCAATTTGTTGATTTTTTTTTCTTTTGAAAAGTGGGCTGAATTGTAGGCTGATTACTATTCTGGCTTCTCTTCCCTGCCTCCCCCAGCCTCGTCTTCAAAATCAGCCTCACAAATACATGTGAGAGTTATGTCCCAGCCTCTGCAGGTTGGGGAACTTTCCGGAGGCACTGGGCTTGCTGGGCGGACCTGGTTTGACAGGGTGTATGGTGTGAAGTGGGTGTGTGGGTTCCTGGCTGACCCCTTGTGTTAAATAAGTAGCACAGGTATGATGCTGGTCGGAATTCCTCCCAAGCCACGTCCGTGCTGCCCTGTTGGATTTGCAGAGCAGCTGCTATTTTGACTCACTTGGGTGGGTAACAATACCTATGATTCTTAGATTTTTTTAGATTCTGGTTCTATTCTTAGCCATGTTTAAAATTAGTTTTTCAAACTAACAAAAATAGTACATACTTTCTGTTTAAAAACAACAACCCCCTCCTTTCTGTTTTTCACCCGCATTTCCGTTCCACAGAAATAACACTGAAATCCTTCTAGAAACTTTCTACATCGTTCTGTACTTGGAAATTATTTTTGGAGGCTTAAGAAACAACACCAATTTATTACTATTAGTATTATCTTGTGGTTCTCTACAAGGTCAAGATGTGTCCCCCTGGGCTCCATTCAAGGCATTGGCAGGACCACAGTCCTTTCCAGAACCTCTAGGACGGCGGTCGCCAACCGGTTGTCCGCGGTTCACGGGCGGTCCATGAGGTCCGAAAGGTTGGTGACCACTGCTCTAGGGGAGACTACATGTCCTTGCTTTTTTAGCTTCTAGGGGCTCTTGGAGTCTCCGTTTTCAAAGCCAGCAACATTGCACTTCTCTCTCTCTCTCTCACTGCTCTTGTGGTAGGAAAATTTCCATGGGGAATTGCTAAAATCCAGTTTAAACTCAGTTAAGACTCTTCCTCAACCCCCAACACAGAAAAGGCCATATATTGAATGGTGGCCTGAGTCCTCAGGGAGGGAGATGGGGTAAGCCCAGCTCCAAACACAAGAGGTTCCCATGGGGAAGAGGACTTGGCCAGAAGGCAGACGGGCATGCAGGAGGCACACACTGGACAGGTACAGCAGCTCTTTCACAATTATATACAAACTTACTAATTTTGGTTTTAGAGCTCATGCGGCTCTTATTCTTCTGTGTGTGTGTGTGTGTGTTTTAAAAAATACGTTTTTATTGATTTCAGAGAGGAAGGCAGATGATGGAGAGAGAGAGAGACATCAAAGATGAGAATCATTGATCGGCTGCCTCCTGTGCGCCCCACACTGGGGATGGAGCCCACAACCTGGGCATATGCCCTGACCAGGAATTGAACCATGACCTCCTGGTTCATGGGTCAAAGCTCAACCACTGCGCCACACTGGCCGGGCTGTGTTTTCTTTTTCTCACTCCACAGTACGTCCTGGCTGCCCTTCCCTGCCAGTATTTCAAGCCAACAGACTCTTTTCCATACTCTTTGGAGCCCTGTGGTTAGAGCCAGCACTAGCTCTTTGGGACATAGGGGTGTCAGCATTAATATTAAGCATACTTATCCTCAGAGAGTGGAATGCATCAAATCTTTTTAACATAAATATTTTACAGCAAAATATCTGTATAAGAAAACAACTCTCTGCCAATCAATGGTCCATCTATTTTTAAAGTAAGAGTCTGTGAAAAAGAGTTCTAGCTTTTGACAGTCCTCAGGGGAATTGGTGTCATATTTAGCTTAAGAGCATCCATGGTACTTTCTTTCCTCCTTGTCATCCTACTGTCTATTTGTAATTTTTTACACAATGTGTGTGTTTGTTGTTTATAGCACCATTAAATTATTTTCATGTGATAAGTATGGAAGGGACTTGAGGATTTTTTAAAAAGTTATGAGCCCAGTAAGGAAACTGATGATGTTTCTCAAAATTTGTTTTGTGGCAAGGTGTACTGTGGGTCGCAAACAGAGGAAATGAACTGGGGCCAAAACTAATCCTGGCATGAGCTTCGTCTAGTTTTAGAGGCACTGAGTTAAATGTCTGTTATCAGCATCCATCTCTGTTCAGCTCTGGAAAGGAATGTAACCAAGAGTGAGAGAGTAGTATTCACTTAAACCGGGAAGAGAATTCTTGAAGCTAAACTGGGTACCAGAGCACCTGGGAGTTCATAGTTCCCTCCCTCTCCATCTTGCTTGCAATACACTGAATCATCCCAAAGCTGCACTTCGGTTTAAATGAAGCCTTTTCTGTCTTCCCTAGGCTGTATTTCTCCAGAGAATCTAAATTAGTGTTCAGTCTTTCTTCACAATTTAAAATGTAAATATCTTCCTCATTCATTTTCCAAAATGACACTAGCTCTGCGCGAAACTTCAGCATTGATGCAGCCATATGTGGGGTCTCTATGCACATGCGAAGAGGGAGAAAACACAGCAACACCCCTCTTTGGAAGGGGAACCAGCTCAATAGCAGGGCCAAAGTAATCAACGATGCATTTTGAAAATAGATATTTTTAAAGTAACTCAGCAATAATTGTTTTGAGGGAATGACAGAAGAGGAATAGAAAACTCACCAGTTTAAGATCATTTTAGTCCAGGCTGTAGTGTCAACATAAACTGTAGGATTTTACAATCAAATCGTGAACTTTCTTTTATCCCATCTTGCTTTTCTAGGAAAGCATAGAAAGTGGTCTACAGGGTGAAATGAATGAGTAAATGAATAAAGATACAAGTAACCCCCCAAAGTAAAGTGAAGTCAGAGAGGGAGTCAGAACTCAAAGCCATCAGACCTGCCTATCAGGAATGCGTTTGCCTTTCAGCCAGCGGTCAGAGCATGGAGGAAAGCCGTTCAGCAGATATGTATTGAGCACATGCCATGTGCCAAATATGTTAAAAGTTTAACAATGACAGATTTATAGCATCTATGAAACACAATTTCAGCTGGACAAAGATTCTCTCGGGGGTTTTCAGAAAAGATAAATGTCCCCAGATGTAGGCCTAGCTTCCTGAGTGTCCCCAGGTCAGTGGAATGGATCCATGCGATGCCAAGTGTCACATGCTTTTCTTTCAAATCCCTCATGCAGGCTGGTGGGATTAGCCAAAGCGTGTTTCATCAAAGGCGATTCTCTGAGGAGATGAAATGACACAGCTTAGGTACATAGCTCTCGGGTTACCTGGTTCCAATCAAGAATAAAATGGAGACTCTTTAGAGCAGGTGGCAGACCTTCCTGCACAGTTACTTGGCTAATCATTCCAGTACTCAGCCTTGGCCATCAGAGTAAAAATGCTGCATCGTAGAGCAACTATTTGGTCAATCTACAGTTCCCTTATAATTAATTAATAATATGTAGTCCTTCTGCTTGTTTGTTGTTGTTGGGTTTTTTTTGCTTGTTTCTTCTTTCAATGTCCAACTAAGAGCTTGTAGATTTAAGTAAGCCTGAGATCAGAACGGAAGAGGCGGGGCTGCTTTCCACTGTGATGTGGGTGTCATGCTCACCAGCATCGGAGGGAGCATGGCGGGGGGGGCACTTCAGAAGTAAATCTCTAATTATTCTAATAACTAAGCATTTAGGTAGATGAATTTACAACAGAAAAAAACACACACAAAACAGCACACTCGGAAAAATCTACCCAAGTGGCAAATCTCAGCATAAAAGATCATCAGGATCATTTTTCTTTCCAATTAACTTTTAATAAAGGCCAGGTATTCTGCTAAGGAGTTTGGAAATGCTTCAACGTTGGTGTTAGTCATTCATTTTCTCAAAATATTGTTTCCACTGTTTAGTGTGAATTGGAACCTATGCCTGGTAGGCTTTCAGTTACTCAATTAGAATGAACAAAAATACTCTTCTCCAAGGCAGAGACAATGTCCTCCTTTTGGAGGCTGGAGAGAGGCATCAAAAACTAACGCATTGAAAACTCTCCTAGTTCTAGGATTACTTTTATTCCAAAAGCTGTCATTTCTTACTGAACTGCTTTTGGTGAATCACACTACTTCTGGAGTAGATGTATCTAATTACAGCTCTGAAAAGCACAGAGCATAGAAATGGAAAGTAAAGCGCTCTGAAATTTAAAGGAACAGTGGTTTTTCCAAACCACTGATTAACCCTGTGCTGTCAGTAGGGCCTGGAATGCTAATTGTTCTTAATTTCCTCCCTAATGTAAATGATAAATTACCTTAAAAAAAAAAAAAAGCCTGGTGTTCCTGATTGACACGTGCTTAACTAATTCTCAGCCAAGTCAATGAGATGGTAATTTCAGTCCTGTCATGGTAACCTAGAGTCCCTACCAGGGAAATTGTAGGCTTTATTGCTGTCCTGAGGGAAAGAAAGTTGAATGGATCACTGTCTACAGACAGAACCTTTACCTTATAAGGCAGTACTGCTGTTGTCTCTTTGTCTCTGGCCTGAAAATAGGTAAATCGTGAAAAGAAGTTTGCTGCACTTGAGAAAGGTACACATGTACAGGTATGTAAAATGCCTGGAGTACCTACCGTATCAGATTGCCTACCTGATTCTAAGTATCTTAAGAGTGAGAGCTCTGTTTTGTTTCTCTATCCATTACTCAGTAACTTTGTTTTGCTCAAAGTTATTTTGTTAAGCCATGAATCATGGATATGAGCAGCGTTGAGCTCTATCATGTTATGTTAGGGAGCACGGCTAGTATAGATTACTCTTACCACGGGCCTTTTTGGTAAGAACACTCAGGAAGGTAAGGAAGACAGGAAAATGTCTCAACTGCTACACAGGCAGACTTCGTGGAGATCTGGAATGACATTCAGAATGTTACCGAAGTTCACTCAGTGTCTGCTTCTCTTTTTAGTCACCATTTTATGCCCAGCACCTATCCTTGTCACATAGTAAATGCTCAAGTATTACTAATGACTAGAGGCCCAGTGCACAAAAATTCCTACACTGGGGAGGGGGGTTCCCCTCAGCCTGGCTTGCCCTCTCTCACAGTCCAGGAGCCCGCAGGGGATGTCCTACTGATGGCTTAGGCCCACTCCCCACGGAGAGTGGGCCTAAGCTGCAGTCTGGCCTCCCTCTGTGGGAGGCGACTGGGCTGATTAGGGGAAGGCGCTGCCCCCATCACCCGGTTGCTGCTGCCACTGCTGGCCATGGCAGCTGCCTGAGCCCCGGGCCTCGCAGCCACTGTGGCTTTGTCAGGATGGATGTCCAGAAGACATCTACCCTGATTAGCATATTACTAGCATATTACCCTTTTATTAGTGTAGATTGAATTTCAGACACTAAGCTCTATTGTGTCTATCTGCTCTCTTTCTCCTATATTCCCAGCTAATGGTCTGTCAACATCTTCAGTTTACCTGAAGCCTTTGCTGCCTCATGGCTTCGGCTTATTCACTTCTCTCTGTATAGCTTTTCTTGTGCCATTGTCATGTGTGCAGATTGTGTATTTCTCACTCCATCTGCCAAGGAGGGGAGTTCTGATTGGATAGACAGGTCACTGCCCAGGATGGGGCACTGTCTCAGAGCATCATGATTAGGCTTCCGTGGGTGCCTCTGTTCAGGAGGCTGGCCCTGGTTTAGTTACCTGTGGTCACTGGGTATAAAGTATTGTCCTGCTCATAAGAGGAATGTGGTTATGGCGGACACTTAGAATATTATTCCCATCATAATAAATTAGAGTCTGATTGGTATTCATTCAGTCATGTTCCAGGTCAGATTCTATGGCATGGGAGAATACCACAGCAGGCTAGTTCGTCGTATTCCCAGAACGGGGCACAGAGCTTGGTGTACAGAGTAAGCAGTGGAAAAATACTGGCTGAATGAAGGCTGAAAGGAGAGGAAATGCTTTGATCTTGTATGTATCCGGGGCCCGATGGGCAAGGTCAAAAAGTAAGGCAGACATACTTGACCGACTCATTCTCTAAGTGAATCATTGTAGTCAATGGCAAACCACACAAGGCTGCTCCCTAGAGGAAGCTCAAATCCAGAAAAACGGCATCCTCCTTCACTTTTGCTTTATGCTGGAAAACAGTGAGTAATATGGAACTTATAATTAAGTGGATTTTGCCATTACAGTGGGAGACTTGCCTCAGGGCTGTCAATCCCAGAGTTCCTTTTTCTCCATGCAGCTGTCACCATCCTAACAGGCATCATCGAAACCCGTTAGAAGAGGACCTGCTCCTGGGATTTGCTGGAAGGGCTGCGGCATATTAGCATGTTCAAACTGAGTTGGAAACTTAATTGGGAGATTTTCCAAATTCAAAATAAAAAGACTTTCCTATGGATAACGTTCTTTGATTTCTACTTCCCCTTTTCCACCATCACATATTGAATCACTAACACCAGCACCATGACAAGGGTGGGGTGGATTCTTTCTCCTTGCCAACTATTTTTGACTCAGAGTTAATTTGGAATTAGAATGAAGGAGAATTTTGCTTGGATTTATGATGAAGGTCGGGCTAAAGCTCTTTGTGGCTCCACATTTGTGTCTCACCATTTGATTAGTATAGTGGTACCAGGTACCTGCCACTCTGCTCTGCACATATTAGGGTCTCGGCCAACACTTAATGACTTAAATTATCAAGGTGAATTAATAAGGCCACTGGCGCAGGTCCTTTAACATGATTCAGTTTCATTGTTTCAGACATCACTCTGAAACTGACAGAACTCTCTAGTAAATGTTTACCATCTGGACTCCAGCTGAATAGGAAAAGACAATGAGGATAATATAGAGGATGGACACAAATTCATAACTATAAGCGGAAAATAGTGGGCAGTCTGTTTTTTCTGTAATAGGAAAGTCAGGATGCTTTGTTGGCTCAGTGTAGGTGTTCGTCACACAGACTTGGGTTAGAACCCTGCTCTGCCACTGAATAATGTGACTGCAGGCAAGTTACCTACACCCTACCTGAGCCTTCGTGCCGGCTGTGAAACGGAGGGAACAGGAGCACCTGTTTGCTTCATGGAGGATTGTGATAGGGTTTAAATAGGTCACACGTTGGAAGCTTTGGCCACAGCGCCTGGCACAAAGTCAGCACTCAGTCACTTAGTGGGCGTGTGATTGTGACTGTTACTCTCCAAAGTGTTGTTTTGAAAATGTAATTCTTTATGACAGCAGTACCTGGTATCAGATAATTCAGTATAAATGGAATATGTCTCTTCCTAGTAACAGAAATTCAACAGTATGATTTCCTTTAGGCAACAGTTTTACACACCAGCAATCAGGAGAAGAAGAGATACCCTTTACATCTTTGTAATGTACACAGGTTGTTTCTCTAGAGCAGGGGTGGGCAAACTTTTTGACTCGAGGGCCACAATGGGTTCTTAAACTGGACCAGAGGGCCAGAACAAAAGCATGGATGGAGTGTTTGTGTGAACTAATATAAATTCAAAGTAAACATCATTACATAAAAGGGTACGGTCTTTTTTTTCTTTTTTTTTTTCTAGTTTTATTCATTTCAAATGGGCCGGATCCGGCCCGCGGGCCATAGTTTGCCCACAGCTGCTCTAGAGCCAAAGAAGAGTATCTTGATTTGTAAGTTCAAGATCTTTTCTGCTCAGTAGTTTCTAAAACTAATTATTATGACATTCCTAGGGAGGTATTCGATAAAGCTCACCTGGGAAGAACTGTCTTTTCGTGGAGGGATTCCTGGTGGTAGTGGCTTTTTTAGAAGTTGTACAAACAAGGTTATGAGGCACTGACGTTCTCCGATTCCTCCCCTGTGGTCATGTAGGTGAGACGGGCATCGGCAAGTCCACGCTAATGGACACTTTATTCAACACCAAATTTGAAAGTGACCCCGCTACTCACAATGAACCAGGCGTCCGGTTAAAAGCCAGAAGTTATGAGCTTCAGGAAAGCAACGTCCGGCTGAAATTAACCATCGTGGACACTGTGGGATTTGGAGACCAGATAAATAAAGATGACAGGTATATCTTGGGATTTTTGTGGGGATATAAATGGATGAAGCAATAACATGACCCATCCCTGGTAAATTCAAAGGCTGAATGTTCACTGATGATGGTAGTTGGTCCCACCATCTCGATGAAAAGATGACACGTTCTTGTCCTGAGACATTTTCTTAAAGTCAGAATCAGCCTGTGTAATTGATTCCAGCTAGTGTAAGCAGAAAGGGGATGTGTTGGAAGGGATAAGGTAACTTATGGCATTTTTCCAGGAGGGCCATGGAACCAGATTTGGGGGATTTCCCGTTGGGAAAATCAATTTAAAGGAGCAGAAACATACAACTGCCCCACAGGACAGTTAGCGGAAACCCCTACCGCCAACCACCTTGTGGCCCTGGGCTAGGTCCCTGGAACCTCCACCAAGTGTGTCCAGATAACCAGGGGCCTCCACCATCGCTGCAAGAAGAACCCTTCCCCTGTGTGACTTCTGCCTCGGGTTGCTCCTGAACACCCTAAGCGAAGGAAACATTTTTATGAAAGATCTGTTGGGAAAAATCTTAGTTTCTGGCTGACTACTTTAAGTGTTTCATTTTATCTCAGAAGAAGTTTGAGAAAGTTAAAATAAAACTGTCCCAGGCCCAAAGATGTTTCCAGGAGGGGGCTTCCAGAGACATTTTTGAGCGATGACGGCATTGTAGGAATAGAACACCAAGTCAACAAATGATGGTGTGTTTACTCAGAGCTCAGAAACTTCATTAGCACCAGGGCTTTTCCTGTTTGGTTTTTTATTCAAAACTATGTATATTATATACATGTGTTTTGTATAAAGGAACTTGAACTATTTTTTTATCTAGAAATGCGCATTGCCTAGATAGATGGGGGGAGGGGCAAAAAGTAGGTTATAGTTGTTTGTATGGAAAATAATACAATAATTAATAAATAGTAATACAAGAATAAAGTCTGTTTCATGCACTCACAACTGAAAACCTACTTTTGCCCACCCTGTATTTTAACTATCGCGTATCTATACGAGCACCACGGTAATGAAAAAGAAATACTTAATTCCTTATATAGCTGAGCACTGAGCTCTATTTTATCTATAGAGCAATTTAAATGCTCTTCAATAAACATTGTCCTGTAATAACAGAAGAACGTGTTAGATATAGTGAGAGATGTTATTTTGCTGGTCAAAATGGACTATCTGTACATTGTGTAGGGGTCGGGGACAGCTGAGCTCAGACCCTGCAGCTGAGCAGTTGCTCTTAACTTACGACCTCAGTGCCAAGCAATGATGGCGAGGTTACTGACTGAAGGCTGTTGGTAATGCCAAGTGGAGTGGATGAAGAGAAAACCCTGGCGACCAGGTAAAGAGCACAGGTGCATTGTGGGAGCCCGGGAGAGAGCTGGGGCCCCTGGTCACTGTGCAATCACAGTGCACACTCAGAGCAAGGCGTGTCTCCATCTCCGACCCGCACGGTTTCTTCCTGGGGTTAATAAAGTGTGTGCACACCATTGGAAGGCAGCAACTGGACCTTTTCAGGATCCTTTCTTCAGGAATGCGACTATCCTCCAGCATCCTGCTGCTAAGATTCCACGTGCTATTCTGGCTCAGAGTCATGCCTCAGTCCTGCCCCTACGTTTTTGCCCGCCTCTACCCAGGGACTTTGCCTTAGGCGGGTGGGTTTGCACTCACCTGCACTGACCAGCAAGTGGCTAGTCCTGTGCCCATCCTCATCGCTGCAGCTGGAGGCCTCTTTAAGAAATTATCTGACTCATTTGGGTCAAATAGTAGTTTCCAAGGAGACTTAGAAGAGAGGAAGTGTGGTATTAACCTAACCTAGATACCAAATATTTTTTTTCTTCTGAAATTTCTTGACAGCTGTTGCATAATCTCTTTCAATGGCATTTAGAACTCTGTGCCCCAGAAGGCAGTGTGGACACTATGGACTGTAAACCCAAATGACTGCTGTTTAAAATAGCTGTTCAGATAGGCCCTGCATCCATCCAAACATTGGAAGTGGGATATGCATTTTTGCGTTGATGTGTAACCGTATGGTAAAGGATGTGCTGTTTCTCTGAACCCATGATTATTTTACTGGTGTGGGGATTAGGCAAGCTTTTCTGCCATTGACGCAAGACCTCAGGAATGTCCCAGTGTGTTTATATAGGCTTCGGACATGTCAGCATTTCTGCAGCATTATCTGCCTGGGACCAGGCTAGCTAGAAGGAGGCAGGAAGAGAGATCTGGTAAGGTTTCCTGTTATGTTTAGCACGATGAACTCTTTTTGGATTAAGGGCTTCCTTGTTTTGTTGTCTGTGCTCTTCAGTGAAGAAGGAAAGGGGTCTGGAGAAGAAGGAAACCAAATTTTGCTGTAGAGCTGGAAATCGAATAATTAGCCCTACATGTGGGAGGTGGAGACAGACTGTCAATGGCTTAATAACTAGAATGATAAACAGCCCTGCAAAGCATGGGTGGTTGAAATTCACTTAGTGAGAATCCTCAAACTCATCAAGTCTTCAGCAAAGTTACAAAAATGGAATTGAAGTAGACTGTTTGGTCTTTGAGTTCTAATTTTTTTTTTGACACTTTCTGGTGAAGGTAGTTGTGGGGTAACGAAAATTGACTTTGGTTAACAGATAGCAAAGATAGAGAAAAATACATGGTAGGTGTCTGGTCATCTGTAAAATGGAGAGTCAGCCCTGAATGATGGCATTGGCTATTTTGCAAGAATGATCAGTGGGTGGATAAAAAACATGGTGTGAACATTTATTCCATCAGTTTCATACTCAAACATTTGCCCTTTTATTGTGTTTTTAATGGCTGGAGGTATGTGAAAAAAATGAGTGGTGGGTAAAAGGGAATAGCCCCATGCCATAAAAGGAAATCCTGTGAAAATGGAAGGGCTAGATATGGTGTGCTCTCCCCTCTCCCCATTTCCTCTGATTTATATAGCTACAATCCAGAAATATTAGAATTGGCCAAACAGAATATAAATAGGTGTCCTTTCTATAAGAATAGAAACGAGCAAAAGGCAAAATAGGCATTCAGTGTCCTAATCTTTGCAACTGAAATGCTGGTAAGGGGAAGTGGAAAGGAGAGGAAGACAGGGCAGAGGATCTGTGTGAAGGGTTGTAAACCAGAGGATAAAGCCTCTGGAGCTATTTCATCAACGTAATTAAATCTTCCACAGAGGACTAGTGATTTTGGTACATAGTTCTCCTGGAGTACAGTTTTTATTAGGTTAGAATGATGCACAAAATGGATGGGCTTTTGTGTGGGGGAGAGGGGAGGAGGACCCGCGGTTTTTGACTTGACCAGTGGTGTGGATGGAAGTGCCGTTCGCTGTGCTGAGGAACGTGGGAAAGTGTGGGTTTGGGGGCAAGATGAAGTGTTTGATTTTAGACGCATTTAGTTAGAAGAGCACCTGGAGACATCTCGTGAGCAGTCGGATGGATCAGTCTGATGCTCAGGTGAAGGATCGGGTTGGAAGTAGACATTTGTGAGTCATCATCATCAGGTGGATGACAAGTGAAACAGAGGAAAAGCTGTGATTTTCCAGGGAGACCACGGAGAGAAAAAGGAGAAGATGGAAGTTTGGCCAGCACTCCGTAACAGGAAGTCAGAGGCGGCCCGAGCTGTAAGAGAACAATAGAGTTCTTTGGCTATATTGAATCCAGGGCAGAAAGCATTCCTCACTTGAAATGGAGAGATGATGGCCCTGACCGGCATGGCTCTGTGGTAGATCATCAACTGATGAACCAGGAGGTCACGGTTCGATTCCAGTCAGGGCACATGCCCAGGTTGCAGGCTCAATCTCCAGTAGGGGCCGTGCAGGAGGCAGCCAATCATGATTCTCTCTCATCATTGATGATTTTCTCTCTCCCTCTCCCTTCCTCTCTCAAATCAATAAAAATATATATATTTTTTTAAAAAGGATAGACGGTCTGGCTTTCGTAATCTTGGAGCATCAGAATCAAACCAGAGGCTAAAAGGGAAATTAATAGAAAGCAGAACATGCTTGGACAATGGCTGGGGAGGAGGTGCTGAGAAACAAATTAGGAACTGGGGAGCCAGAAAGGAGCAATTGCTGTGAGCTGCTTTTCCTCCCCTTGGGGCTGAGAGGGTTCTGGGGGAGTATCTTGATTCCCCCAACACATGCCTCAGTGTCAGGAGACTGAAAGACCAGGCCCCGGACTGACAGGCATCATGGCCCTCATTGGAGGGGCCAGGTCCCTCCCTGACTGGGTATGAGCTCAGTGGCAGAGCGGTTGCCATGGAACCAGGTGAGGGTAAAGTTCTCTTGTTTTTTTCCCCCTTGTCTTTTAAAAATGTCAGGCATGCTATTTTTTTTTAATATATTTTATTTTTTACAGAGAGGAAGGAGAGGGATAGAGAGTTAGAAACATCGATGCGAGAGAAACACCGGTCAGCTGCCTCCTGCACACCTCCTACTGGGGATGTGCTCGCAACCAAGGTACATGCCCTTGACCGGAATCGAACCTGGGACCCTCTATCCACTGAGCCAAACCGGTTAGGGCAGGCATGGTATTTCTTATTTGTTGTTTCTTATATGACAGTGAAACAGTTATATCTTACTTTTATGTGCTGGTCCTTCACAGATATTAGCTCACTCGTTTACCACAATAGCTCTCTGATATAGATACCATTTTTGTCGTTGATTTATCTATGAGGAAACTAAGACACAGGGAGCTTTAGTAACTTGCCTAAAGTCACACAGCTAGTAAGTTGTAGAGCAGACTGTGGTCTGAGGTGGTCTAGCTTGAATCTATGCTTCTAACCACCACCCTATATAACGATCCTGGAATAAAGATGAGGATTACTATTGTTATATAATGCCTGCCTATGTGTTAAAATTGAAAAACATAGAAGACTTATCACTTGCTCATCCTTTTCAGTGGAATTTTGCTTGCCATGATTGAGAACTTGATTCTTACTGCTGAGGCACATTCCACTTTTTTTTCTTTTTAACCTCTAGAGACTTGTCTGCTTAAAATGAACCAAGGGTTTGTGATAAGTTTCCAAGGAAAAGTGTCATCAAAAAGCTTTTCTGACAGTTTTGGTTTGAGTCATAAATTTGTTTGGTGTCTCTGTTTTATTTTTACTTTGGTTTTTTGTTTGTTTGTTTTTCACTTAAGGTGTCTGCTGTCATCTTCATTTTAAAAGATTTGTAGTTCCCTTCCAGGGATTTCAGTTAATTTATAGCCCTGGGGCTTAGTGTTGGAAGGTTTTTATGTTTCTGAAAGTTTAAATCATTCCTTCGCACCGTAGTAAGTTGGGGAGAATCAACCTGTTGTATTCCCAATAGGCCAGTCTCACTGCTGCTGACCAACCTCTCCTGAGCAGCTAGTCCCTGAGGCCCAGAGGAGCTCATGGCTATTCACAGAGACCTGTGTACCACCTGATACGCTTTTAATGATTGTGTTTACGGTCAGTGCATCGAATCATACATAATCACCCAAAAAAAGATTTGAATTACAGCTTGGGGAGCAGAGGGTTATAAAATGTGTCTTCAAATCGTAACATTTAGAGTTGGGAAGAACCTAGAAGATCACAGTGGTCCAGGCATTTCAGTTTATAGCTGGAACCCTGGAATGTGCCCAGGGCTTTATGAGCGCAGAGAACCCCTAACCTCTGGAGGCCCAGGCAGAGGCCCAGGCCGGGGCTCCCAATAGGAGGCGGTGCCATGTCCTGAAATTACAGACGGGCTTTATTTTGTGCACCAGTGTCAGTCAGTTGGTGCGGGCTGTCAGAATCCCTTTGTTGGGACAGATTTGGAGGCTCGGTTTTGCCCCAAGAGGAAAGAATGCCGCCGCCTCTTAGCAATATCTTCAAGGGTCCCACGGGGGAATTAACCGCATGCTACACTTGTTTATCCTCTGTTTTAGAGGATGCCTGTTAGGCGGGACGATGATAGGAAGGAGACCGTCCCAGGTAGAAGAGCTAGTGTGAGCAAAGGCGTGGAGACAGAGCTTGGTGTGCGAGGCTGGGCCAGAAACAGTGAGCCGGGTGGTGTGGGACCGAAGACAGAAGGCCCGGGATGCAGGGAATCGGGCTTTAGCTCTCGGGGCAGGGCGGGCCGTAGACATTCCTGGAGCCTTGCACCACGCTGAATTGCCAGAGAGCCTTGACTGCCAGAGTGCGCTGATTGAAAATGTGCTTTAGAAAACGTTCTTCTGCATTCCAGCTACAAGCCCATCGTGGAATATATCGATGCGCAGTTTGAGGCCTACCTACAAGAGGAATTGAAGATCAAGCGGTCTCTCTTCAACTACCACGACACCAGGATCCACGCGTGCCTCTACTTCATTGCCCCGACTGGGCACTCCCTGAAGTCCCTGGACCTGGTCACCATGAAGAAACTGGACAGTAAGGTACTCACCGCCCGTCTGCTGCCCCCCCTCTCCTGTCAGCTCACCTTTGTTCCAAGGCCCCCATGCATTCTCTGCTTTCAGTGTACATTTTGTTTTTTGTTGTAAAAACATTTTTTAAAAACAGTTATGGGTTCACAGCAAAATTAAGAGGGAGGTACAGAGATTTCCCACATACCCCTGCCCCGCCCCCCCATGCATAGTCTCCCCCATTACCAGCATCCCCCTTCAGAGTGGTACATTTGTTACAATTGATTAACTGCGTCGATAGATCATAATCCCCCCCAAGTGCATAGTTGACATTAAACTTCCCTCTTGGTGTACACTCTGTGGGTTTGAACAAATGTGTGATGACATGTATCCATCATTATAGTATCAGGCACAGTAGTTTTGTTGCCCTGAAAACCCCATGCTCTGCCTGTTCGTCCCCCAACCCCATAATTTGTGTTTTCTGGTTTATCGAACCATAGGGTTGAGCAATGTGAGAAAAATGCTTCAAAACTTCTCTGGATGTTAGGAGAAAACAAAAAAACAAAGCCATGTAGCTTTGTTACAAAGCATTTTTAGTTCTTTTTCTTATTTTTTAAATAGTTTATTGATTTTTTTTTAGAGAGAGAGAGAGGGAGAGAAAGAGAAACATCAATGAGAGAGAAACATCCATCAATTGGCTGCCTCCTGCAAGCCCCCTCCTGGGCATTGAGCCTGCAACCTGGGCATGGGTCCTGACCAGGAGTTGAACCGGCAACCTCCCGGTACACAGGACAACACCCAAACAACTGAGCCACACTGGCCAGGGCTATTTTTAGTTCTTAAATTAGCATAGTGTATGGTCTGGTGAGTTGGGAAATTACTTAGTGGAGACAGGGAAATGGTCATAAGAGGGGTTAAATTTAGGGAGATTGAAACAAACCTATGATTTCTTTATTTCCTTAAAAACTTTCACTAAGTCTCTTAAAATGTTTGGCTTTAATTTGAAGTTTAGAATGAAAAAAGAAGTTGATTTTTTTATCTGTGTGATAACAGTCCATCTTAGATGTTGAAGCTGACTGCGCCCATGAGTTGAAAAGAAGTGAAGTCCTAGTTGCAGTTTGACCCCTGAGCTTTCCACATTGATAGCCTCTCTCTCTCACAACATTTGAAGGAAGGAGCTGATCTGCATTTCAGTTCATTTAATTTTCCATTTTGGGATAAATGGAAGGTCATAGGTTTCTGAAATAAATCAGCAGCAGACGAGAGCAACCACAGAACGAAGCTATGGTATTTTCTCCTTTGAGTTCAATAAATACGAAGTCTGATCAAACTGAACCTAAACCTATGATAATTTCAGAAAAGATTTGCAAATCCCTGGGAGTGAGGAAAAAGAGACCTTAAGTCTAAATCGCCTGGTTTGTCTTATCTACTCTGATCAAACTGGCCAAAAACAGTGGCCCTCTGCCATTTTGTCTGTGTGGGTATTAACTGAACAGTCAGTGTGTACAAAAGATAGCCCGTGTGAGCAGCCAGAGTTTCTGTTCTTTAGGTCCCGATCCCACTGTCCCACTGTTTCTCTCTCCGCCCCCCCCCCTTCCCCCATCTCTCCCCTCCCACTGTCAGTGATGTGTTTTTGTGTTTAGTCTGCCACTTGCTGGAGGAAGAAGCCCAAGCGGGATGAGATTGGGAGCTGGTTGAGGAGTAGGTTTTTCTATCAACATGTCATCTCATTCTGGTTTATCGGCTGATCTGCATTTCAGTTCATTTAATTTTCCATTTTGGGATAAATGGAAGGTCATAGGTTTCTGAAATAAATCAGCAGCAGACGAGAGCAACCACAGAACGAAGCTATGGTATTTTCTCCTTTGAGTTCAATAAATACGAAGTCTGATCAAACTGAACCTAAACCTATGATAATTTCAGAAAAGATTTGCAAGTCCCTGGGAGTGAGGAAAAAGAGACCTTAAGTCTAAATCGCCTGGTTTGTCTTATCTACTCTGATCAAACTGGCCCAAAACAGTGGCCCTCTGCCATTTTGTCTGTGTGGGTATTAACTGAACAGTCAATGTGTACAAAAGATAGCCCGTGTGAGCAGCCAGAGTTTCTGTTCTTTAGGTCCCGATCCCACTGTCCCACTGTTTCTCTCTCCGCCCTCCCCCCCCCCTTCCCCCGTCTCTCCCCTCCCACTGTCAGTGATGTGTTTTTGTGTTTAGTCTGCCACTTGCTGGAGGAAGAAGCCCAAGCGGGATGAGATTGGGAGCTGGTTGAGGAGTAGGTTTTTCTATCAACATGTCATCTCATTCTGGTTTATCAAGGATTTCTGATTTGGCTCTTGGGATAAAAGGAGAATCAAAGGAATGCAGACGTGACCTGGAAGCCTCCCTAGAGACTCTCCTCTGGCCAGGACGGCTTTCTCACGGAGGCCGTCCCTTTTCCCCTGAGCTGGGTGGAGAGCAGGGTCCCAGGGATCGGATGGCGGCAGCATCTTATTGAAGCCTCGGTACCGACCAGGGAGTGGAGGAAAGTTCATCTTAAAGGTGAATTTTTAAGAATGTGTGCTGTGGACAGCGCTGACTGAAGCCGGGAGACGAGTGTCCCACCTCAGGGTCGGGGCTTGCCCTGCAGGACACCTTGGCTCTCCAGGGCTTTCTGCTGCTGTTGCCAATCTCCCCTGGTCCAGGTAACCGATACCCTGAAAGCGAGCCTGGCCCGAAGGAGTTGTGCGATCGATGGAAGCTAACTTTCAAAAGAACTGGCTGGTGTGATTTTGAAAAGTTTAAAAGTAGGTGAAACCATGTTTGTTTTGGTTAATAGTTAGGTGCTCCCCTCAGGTTATCAGAAGGACAAAAGGATGTTTCCTGCAGAGAGCTGAATATTCCACTGTTCTAACTAACGAAAACTCTGTTTTATACTGCAAACTACTGCCAGGAACGTGGAAAAATCAAGGTCCTAAGGAGCTGGGAGGGGCCTGAAAGGAGTGGCTGGTTACTCAAGGATAGGCGTCCTTGTTACCGCCTGTTCTCCTAGAGCAGCGTCCTTTCACTCTGTGCGGAAGCGTGAGGTAGCTCAGGAGAGGAAATGGCAAGTGTGCTCCCGGCTCCGAGGTGAAGAGAAAGTGTTCACAGGTGGAACTAAAAGATTATCCCATGTCGTCTTAATGTTGCACCTCCGTCAAAGGTCCTGCTGTCAATATCATCTCTATTCTCCAAGTGAAGTTTATACGTTTTCACTTATCTGTTTGCTATTTTTATTCGTCTATTTTTCTCACATTGGAATTATATCTGTTTTATAGGTGAACATCATCCCAATAATTGCAAAAGCTGACACCATCGCCAAGAACGAATTGCACAAATTCAAGAGTAAGATCATGAGTGAACTGGTCAGCAACGGAGTCCAGATATATCAGTTTCCCACAGATGAAGAAACGGTGGCAGAGATCAATGCGACCATGAGTGTAAGTCCTCAAGTGAGAAAGGACCAGGCAGTGATGCTCCAGCAGGCTTTTTTTCGCATCAGCATTGCAGAGCGACTAGGGCACTAGACTGGGAACTTGATGTCTTCAGTGTGGCCTAGCTCTGCCACTAGTTCCAGGCATTTAGCCACTGTGCGACTCGGTTCTCCCATCTATCAAATGGGAGAGTTAAGCAAGGTGGTCTCACATTTCCTCCCCACTCCATAACAGTTACGATTTCTACAGCGGATCTTGAAGGGAGGGCCAGCCCAGCGCCGTTTCACACATAGCAGCTTAAGGGAAGCAGATCTCTGCTCGCTGTGCCAGGGTAGGCAGACACATGGCCACCTGCCTCGCTGCGCTTCTGAGATTGGTTCCTGCCTCTCCCCCATTTTTTTATTTTCCCCACCCTTTCCTGAACCATTAGGTAAACCGGCAGTTGAGGGTGTAATTTCCACATCACAGGGAGAAATTGGTCAGGAGATTAGTGATTAAAGCTGCAGCAATCTAGGTGTGCCTGGGAAATCATCTCCCCTGGTGAGCCCCCATCCCCCTGGGATAGCCGCAGCGTCCCCCTGCTCTCTGTGTATCTGAGCCATGGCTCAGCTCTGAGCCACAGTGGCTGTGTGTATCTTTTTTCATCGGGAAATGGGTAACTTCTGTAAAATCAGCATTCTTTGCACACACACTGTGGATGCCCAGTAATGGTCTTTAGAATTCTTAACATTGTAGATGACCTTCAGTGAAGTGTAATTAGCAGCTACCGAAGAGCCTGGCCTTACCTGAACGCATGCTAACATTTGATTTCGACGTGTGCCTAGTGGCAGAGGAAGCCAGTCTAAATTTTCAAATTTGTGGGAGGTGAAAGTATGTCATGAAAAATTGTCTAATCCCATCATTTTTAAAATGTACTAGTGGCACTTTTAAAAATTAACAGGCTTATTGAGATATGATTGATATACTGTATAATTGTTTTTCTAGTATATTCACAGACTTGTGCAGCCAATGCCACAAACAATTTTAGAACATTTTCTTCACCTCAAAAAGAAACCATATACCTTTACACTGTTCATTCTCTAACCGTCCCAGCCACAGGCAACCACTGATCCACTTTCTTGTCTCTACATTTGCCAATTCTGGACATTTTCTAGAATGGGGGTCGTGCTGAGGTCCATCGAGAGCAGTGGTTCTCAACCTTCCTAATGCCGCGACCCTTTAATACAGTTCCTCATGTTGTGGTGACCCCAACCATAAAATTATTTTCGTTGCTACTTCATAACTGTAATTTTGCTACTGTTATGAATCATAATGTAAATATCTGATAAGCAGGATATATTTTCATTGTTACAGATTGACATAATTAAAGCATAGTGATTAATCACAAAAACAATATGTAATTATATATGTGTTTTCCGATGGTCTTAGGCGAGCCCTGTGAAAGGACCATTCGACCCACAGGTTGAGAACCGCTGATCTAGAGGATTCAATGACTTGGTCAAAGCCAGGCAGTTAGTAGCAGCCCTGGGATTTCAACCCAGACCCCGAACCCCAGTCCTGTGTTACGTTTGGCCTCATTCGTTGGGAGCTCAGGTTACTCCACAAAACTGCCTCTTGTTTCTTCGGCTCGGCATGCGGACTTTTCTGTAGAGGGCTGTTTCATTTAGGCAAGATTTCTTCCTTAAAGTAATCCCACTATGACTAGGACTTTGGAAGCAAATGTACCTTTCTTCCTCTCTGGGGCTCTTACTGTATGAATTTAGAATTTAGGGATCTCATCCACGCAGAGCTCCATGCTGCCCTGTTCTGGCCACACGCAGAGTTGTCGCCCTGGCTGTCGTCCTCCTGTGGCCAGGACAGTAAGGTGCTGGGAGAGCCTGGAGTGCAGATCCTTCCTGGGAAACAGGCCCAGGGGGTGTGAAAGGAAGGTCGCCATTGGGAGAATGACTGGACTCATTCAAAAGACAGAACCAAAACTAATGGGCAAAAGAGCAGAGAGGGGTTTGGGGCCCATATGGAGTTTGACTGTTGGCACCACCGCAACACAGCCAACACCTGATCGAAGTGGTGAGTTCCTCTCATGAGTGGTGGGTGAACAACAAATTCTGCTTCAACTCATGGAGAAGAGATAACGTGGAGGGATTCCTGTACCGGGTCAAACTGAACAATACGTAAGGTCTCTTCTGCATGTCAAGTTGTACTGAGAACTTCATGGTATTAGTAGCACCTGGCATTTTTGACATTTAGGGAGCATTTACTATGTACCAGGTACTGTTTGAGCCTTTCCATTTCATCTTCACAACAGTCCCCCGGGAGGTACTACTGTTTCTATCTCACATCCTGAAGACGGCAGCCATGCACCTAAGGTGGCACAGCCGTCTGTGGCAGAGGCAGGAGCTTCGCTCTGGAGCCAACATCCTCGCCCTTTATGATACCCAGCACCGAGCAGGGCAGTGTGCTGTTCATGCCACTGTCTAGGACTCGGGTTGTGGTGCCACGTGTGTATTCCCCGTGGAACTGCGATTCGGGTGTCCGTGTGGGACTCAGGAAGGAACATCTAATTCTCTCTGTCTATCCCTCCCCATTCTTTCCAGTCGTCTTGCACGGTGAGGAAACTAAATTTGTGTTAACTTCCTCGGAAAGGAAACACCCATGAACCTTCCACTCTCTTTCTCCCTTTATCAGGTGAATAGCCATTCCCACATTCATCTTGCTCTTTAGCAGGCACCTTCCTTTCGGTCTTCATTGCCAACCATCCCTGGTGATGAAATGCCGTGTGAAATGTGGGAGGGGCTCCGTTGGCAGGTGCCCGGTCACTCCGCTTGCGTGGGAGAAGCATTTTCCTTGGTCGCTAACACCAAACTGTGGCCAGAAGTCCTGGTGCTCCTGAGCTTCGGGGAGCACATTTGAGTTCCAGGCTTGGAGTCTGAGAAAGAGACGTGCTTTCCTCCTTCCTGTGCAGGGGGAGGCAGACGGGAGAGTGTAACTATCTTGAGCAGCAGAAAACAAACACCACTTGGGCAGCCTGGGTGGAGGGTTACGCCAGGTTCTCTGTGGAAGAGGACTTGGCTTTAAAACATTCCTCCTGGCTCAACTTATCTGCAGTGGAAGGACCCTGGGTCAGGGAACCCTCCATCATAATTCTCAGGGCAGCCATTTCAAATGTTCTTATTCTTATATACTAATAGAAAAGAGAGAATTTCAGTCCATCCCCTCCTATCTGCATCCCCCCCCAGTGCAGCCGTAGCTTCCAAATAAACCACGTGGAGCAGTTGGTTGTCTTGACCACCAACCACTTGAGATAAGTCCAGGTGCAAGGCCTGAGCCAGTAGTTTGGGCTACGCTGTGTTTCTGGCTTGAATTTTGTGCAGCAGTCAGCTACCTGAAGCAGTGCTGTGGAACAGAAATATGAGCCACACGAGTAATTTAACCCTTTCCAGTAGCCACATTTAAAAAAAAGTGAAAAGAAACATGAAATTAATTTTATAACTTATTTTACCCAATATACACAACATATTATCATTACAACATGTAATAAATATAAAGATTATTAATGAGGTTTTTTTCAAAGTCTGAAATGTGTATGTTACATTCATAAAACATTACAACTTGGATGTGCACCTGTTACTCCTAACATACTTAAAATTTTTTTAAAAAAATATATTTCTTTATTGATTTCAGAGAGGAAGGAAGAGGGAGAGAGAGATAGAAACATCAATGATAAGAGAGAATCACCGATCGGCTGCCTCCTGCATGCCCCCTACTGGGACCGAGCCTGCAACCCGGGCATGTGCCCTTGGCCGGAACAGAACCGCGGACCCCTCATTTCTCAGGCGGATGCTCTATCCACTGAGCCAAACCGGCCAGGGCAAAAGTTTTTTAAATATAAAATAGATACCCAAAGGATCATTTTTCTTTAACACTTGCGTCCACATTGACAAAACTGGTTCTTCTCTTTGTAGAAGATTTGAGTTTGCAGCAAAGCGAAATTCCGCTTCTTGATTCCACGAGCCCCATTTCAAATGTCCGAGGGCCACATAGATGAGCAGCTGCTGTATTGGACAGCTCGTGTCTAAAGCGTACTGTATAGTTGCCAAGACCCATACCGTGTCCCCATGGATCTAGCTCAGATCAGATATTCAGAATGGGTGTGGACAGGTAGGATGCACACACTCTCACACGCACGCGTGCGCACGACTGCAGCGTTTCCCTCTTCTACCTCCCGGCTTCTCCTGCCACTGAGCAGGGCCTGAAGCAGCAGGGAGAGTATGGAGGCAGGTGGAAAACCAGCCTTCTCCAGAGCTGGGAGGATGACTGCAGCAGGTCCTTGAGGAACGGCACTTTGTTCACCGTCCTTTCGTTATAAGTTTGATGAGTGAAGGAAAAATTGTCTCCTGACCAGGCCCACTGTCTGTGTGGAGTTGTCGTGTTCTTCCCACATCTGCGTGGGTTTTCTCTGGATACTCCGGTTTCCCCCACTTACCAGGGGTGTGGGTTTTGGGTGAACCACGTGTATCTCATTGTCCGGGTCCGAGTGTGGGTGTGGGTGCGGGTGTGAGTGCGCCCTGTGGTGGAAGGGTGGGCGTCCTGTCCAGGGAGGGCCCCCCTGGTGCTCTGAGCTTCCAGGAGAGGCCCTGGCCACCCTGGACCGTGAACTGAATCAGCAGGTTGGGAAATAATGATCTTGTTTTTATTCATCTTTCTTCATGTATGTGTAGCTCACATGCATTTCCATGTGTAGAAGTATTTGGGTCTTTGTAATTTCAGTGATGTTTTTGCGACCAGAAATATGCCATAGGAAGTTAACTCTTATTGATGTCAATGAAACTAGAGTAAAACGATCTCATTTTATGGTCGTTTCACTTAAAGTTGCAGTTTCTAAGAACTTGTTGACAACGTTCAGTGAGGACTCATTGTGCTCTCCATCCTTGTGTTGTTGGCAGGTCCACCTGCCATTTGCCGTGGTCGGCAGCACCGAAGAGGTGAAGATCGGCAACAAGATGGCCAAGGCCAGGCAGTACCCGTGGGGCGTGGTGCAGGGTATGTGTGCGGCAGGGAAGGGATTCTTCACGTTCAACCCCTGTGGTGACTGACCACGTTTCTCCCTCCCCACCGTGTTTGAGGAGCTCCTTAATCGTGGGCAGGTGGAAGGGAGTAGTAGGGTTGTACACCTGGCAGTCGTGGAGGTGAGAAAGAAACAGCGACCAGGTAGGACGATGGTGACAGTGGAGAGAAGAGGCTGCAAAGCCCTAGTGCCAGTGAGGCAGCCTCTAAAAAATGGCTGGTGGGAAATTCAGTATAAATTCCTGTGAGGAGAGTTCTTCCCTAGGGGTCTGAACCATTTTCATCACTAAAGCTTAAGAAAGCTGCAAAGAGCTTCTTGCAAACAAGAGGATGCTTATCTTTCCATACCTGTTCATCTCTGGGAACATTGTCCTCCAATTAAATGTTATTTCAGGCGCAGCCGCCATGGCTCAGTGGTTTAGTGTCGGCTATGAACCTAGAGGTCATGATTCGAGTCCCTGTCAGAGTTCGATCCCCCGTGTGGGGCGTGGAGGAGGCAGCTGATCAGTGATTCTGTCTCATCATTGATGTTTCTATCTCTCTCTCCCTCCCCTTTCTCTCTGAAATCAATAATATTTATTTTGAAAACTAACAAATGTGATCTCAGTAAATATCTGAGAATTAAGAGAATGTCTGACCTATATTTGGTGCTGGCAGACATGACCACAGTCTCTAACCTGAAAAAGCTTCCCAGACGCCAGCTTGATGGGCAAGGACTCTGTCACCTGCCCTTGCCGTGTGTTCTGAGCAGGGCATCCAATGCTGTAAATTAGCACGATGGCTCCAGGAAGGTCCTTCGTTGGTTTGAGATCTGTGAGTCTTATGTTTCCTTTGTTCAGAATAAAGGTAATAAGTTTGTGAAAAGAAACAATGCCTTTGAGATCCTAGGAAAATTAAAGTTTTTATGAATCTTACCAATTTCCCTACCATGAAAAAATTTTCTTCATAGTGTTGTTGGTAAATTAAAGGAGGTAGTATATTAAAAAATCCTTGTGCAGCTCCAGACAGCATGGAGAAATAGGCTTATCTTTTTCTTTTATTATTTATTAGAGGCCCACTGCACGAATTCATGCACAGGTGGGGTCCCTCGGCCTGGTGGGCAATTGGGGCCGTATTACCTAGTCCAGTGGTCGGCAAACTCATTAGTCAACAGAGCCAAATATCAACAGTAGAACGATTGAAATTTCTTTTGAGAGCCAAATTTTTTAAACTTAAACTATATAGGTAAGTACATTGTTATTAACTTAATTAGGGTACTCCTAAGGGCTTAGGAAGAGCCACACTCAAGGGGTCAAATAGCTGCACGTGGCTCATGAGCCGCAGTTTGCTGACCACGGGCCTAGTCCCATTTGGGGCCGGCCAGCTGGGGAGAGGGACCGAGGGAGGTTGGCTGTGTGAGCACACTGACCACCAGGGGGCAGCTCCTACATTGAGCGTCTGCCCCCTGGTGGTCAGTGTACATCATAGCGACCGGTTGTTCAGTTGCTTAGGCTTTTATATAGATAGATTTTTTTATTGATTTCAGAGAGGAAGGGAAGGATAGAAATGTCAATGATGATAGAGAATCATTAATCTGTTGCCCCTTCACACCCTCTGCTGGGGTTTGAGCCCACAACCCAGGCATGTGCCCTGACCGGCAATCTAACCATGACCTCCTGGTTCATATGTGGATGCTCAACCACTTAGTCACACCTGCCAGGCTAGGCCTGTCTTTGACGCCAGACATCATGGTTTAAACATAGTTTCTCCTTCCTCTGTGTGAGCTAATCCATGCTTCTGTGTCTACAAAGCAGGAGTCATTTTGAAGAGTAAAGACAGTATCTGTCTGTCTCCTCCCACAGTGCCCTGCACTGGGCAGGCACCCGGCAGTCACTCCTGTCGTCAATATTCTGGTCAAAGTCAGAAACATTGTCTTCATTGGCAAAGTGAGATGGATCCAGTAGAGGATCATCCGGTGGCTTTGAGAGATTTCAGGAGCCGTGGTGACAATATCTTGGAAACATTCCCCTTGATTATCAGTGACTGACAGCAGCCCCGCCCTCCGCTTCCCCTCCCCCATCTCTTGCAGTGGAGAATGAAAACCATTGTGATTTTGTGAAACTGCGGGAGATGCTGATCCGCGTGAACATGGAAGACTTGCGCGAGCAGACTCACACCCGCCACTACGAGTTGTATCGGCGTTGTAAGCTCGAGGAGATGGGGTTCAAGGACACTGACCCTGACAGCAAGCCCTTCAGGTATGCGGCCACCTGGCAGTCAGGTGTTCCAGGACAGTGGGAAGGTGGAGTGTTGTGAGTCGCAGAAGTGCTTGTTGGGTTGAACTATCGGAGGAAAGCACCCGGGAGGGCAGGTGATCTCATGTTGCCAGGCACTGTGGCAACCACTCTATCTGGATTGTGTACCATCGGTGTCGCTGATGTCATTGCCATCATCCTCATTTTACAGAGGAGGAAACTAAGGCACTGAAGTGTAAACAACCAGCCGAGGTCCTACAAGTAGGATGTGACGGCGACAGCGGGGAAGGTTTTGAACCCGTGCCCTTAATCATTACACTCACAGAGGCACAGAGCCTGGCCTAGGCATTTACAAAGGCGCAGCTACACCCTACAGTTTGCCTCATTCATTTTTGCCAGATCGGTTTGACTTCCCAAGCTTGCTCTTTCAGAAGTGCTCTATTAGCTTCCAGTGGTTTGATGCAATTCTGACAACAATGAGTAGGAAAGGGGATAACTTACAGAAAACTGCTTACAGTCCACATCTTTGATGGATGGAGATGAAGAGGCAAAATGTGAAGGGGGAAATATGGAAATTAATGCATAATTAGTGGCTTAGCAAAGGCCCACGCCTTGTCAGAGCCACGTGTGGGAAGGGGCCTCCAGGGGAGGGTGCTGGGCCTGGTGAAGTGTCAGTGGAAGGGGCGGCTGTCATACCAGGTTCACAGGAAAGGATTGCTCTGTCCAAACCGAGCCCTTGCAATTTCTTCATGTAGATGTGCAGTGTATCTGGGCTTAGTGTCTCTACCGACGGGGGAGGAAGGGGGTGTGGTACGGGTCCTCAGAAAAGACTATCTTCCTTCTGTTTTGTGGCCACTGTAACTCATACTCTGATACCTGGGAGCAGGCGGGCCATAGTGCCTGAGGCAGCCTGTGTGCGGATGGCAGGCTCCAGGGCCCCAGATCTGAGCTGCCCTGGGGTGGTGGGGGTTTGGGGATTTGCTATAGAGGTAGTTTGGTAAAGTCTGGGCTGGTCTCCTGGTACAGTGCTACTGTGGTGCTGTGAGGTGTGTAAGAACATTGATAAGAACAAATGGAGACCCCAACCAAAGGCTTCTAACCGAGAAGTTAACCTCTGACGCAGTGTGCATCATTTAGTCCCATCCTGGGGGCTTGTAAAACTGGTCTTCAACCACAGGCCACTTTCCGAGTCAAGATAGAGAATGCCTTTCTGTGAAAAGTTTCGCTAAGCCTTGAATTGCATTGACCAAAACGTAGTCCCTACCAAACCAGGCCTACTCTGTGGGTTTTAAACTGGATGAAGTGTTTTTTGTGTTGTTGTTGTGTTTATGAATAGAGATGGAACAAAAAAATTTCACTGAAATCTAACTCATTTGGCCCTCTCCTTCATTCAGATCCAGGCAGTGCTGGTGAGCTAGGGCAGAGTCAGTAGTCTGGGTTCAAGTCCTGGCCCTGCTACCACTCAATTCCTCACCCTCTCTGGGCCTCAGTTTCCTCATTTGTAAAGCGAGGAGTGGGGCTAGATCAGGAGACAGACTTAGTAAAAGGACTTTTTGTATAATGGGCCAGGTAGTAACCCAACCTGAGCTTCATGCCATGGTCCCCTTCCCCACTTCTGCTGTTGTTTGGGGTAGAGGGAACTCAACCAACTCAAACAGGTTTCTTTTTGTTTTATACTGAAGGACTTTTCAGAGCCTTTAAGATAAGCAGTGGATGGCAAACTGGTTACATCAAATTACTTGGGAAGCATTGAAATACTACAGGTTATTTTGCCTTAGCCCGGCATCTCAAGTCTGCACCTCTGGGGGTGGAGTTAGGAAACTGTTTAGACAAGTCCAGCGAAACTCGAGTAGGCAGTGCTGATGTGCCATGGGGTTGGGAGCCACTGTGCACTGTGACCCTCCTAAAGGGAGGTCACACATAGCATTTTCCCTTTACTCTTGACTTGGGAACCCCTCTGTTTGAGATCTCTTGAACTAGTGATCGCCGGAACACTTTGGGTCATGCTTCTTTTTTAAAATATATTTTTATTGATTTCAGAGAGGAAAGGATAGGGAGAGAGAGAAACCTCAATGAAGAGAGAGAATCATTGATTGGTTGCCTCCTGCACGCCCCCTACTTGGGATCGAGCCCACAACCAGGGCATGTGCTCTGACTGAGAATTGAACTGTGACCTTCTGGTTCATGGGTCAACGCCCAACCACTGAGCCACACTGGCTGGGCTGGGTAGTGCTTCTTCGTAGCGTTTCTATAAACTGTGTCCCATTGCTTGTGAGAAAGAGGAGGGACTTGTATTCACTATCCTGAAATCATCAAAAGCTGGGTTCCCCCCCCAAATCCTTTTCCTTTGGCAATTCTGATCCAAATAATGGTGATGAGGTTTATTGGAAAGGAACAAAATCAAATTCATGAATTACTTTGTTGTTCTATTATCAACACATTTCTATGTCTCTATGGCTTACATTTTCAAGTCCAAATATCACTATTAATATTAGCCAACATTAGCATTGGCCAAATTTGCTTTTGTCTCATAAGATAATGTGAAAGCTAACCATACCTCTGGAATCTCAAACACAGGATTGCTGATTAACAGAGAGTGTTGATTCTCTTGAGGGCAGGGGAACTTACTTTAATCTACCAATAAAAGCATGTATTGTAGAAGTAGAAACAATCCTAATTCAGACATTTTCTAATTGTTTAGTTCTTTGTATACCTACATGGGTGTGTACTCGCACCACCTGGATGTCCCTTTGCTCCTTCTACAGGACAAGTGTGCATGCTGGGGTGCTCTGCATGGTGCCTGGGTCACCCACGGGTGCTACCCAGTTTGGAGTCAGCACATTGGATGAATTTGACCCACAGGTTAAGGTGAATAATCCTGCAGGCCCGTGTTACTGTGACAACTCTTGTTCCCAGGAAACTAGAAGGGAGAAGTAGCAATAGCACCTTATAAAATGCCAGCAAATGCTTCTCTGTTTGGATGCGTGTGGGTGTGGGATTTCTTAAGCTGTGTTACCGAAGGTAATATTTCCATAAATATATTTGTTCTGACTTAGAGATCAAGCTGAGGCATGGCATTTGATTTAAAATATTGGGCTCTACGGCCTGCAGGATTATCAGGGGGAGGATGGGGTTTAAAATAAAAATAAGACTCCTCCCTGCTCTATTATGATTGGTAATACAACTTTAAAAGTAGCAATTTTGTGACATACCTTTAGGTACCCTATTGGCTCTGTAGATGGTTCGCTGAGTCTGTTTTCTAAACTGGGGACAGGAGAGAAATGAGTGGGGGGCGGGGGGTAATATTTGTAAAGCGCTGAGGGCTTTGCTCGCTTTGCCGCCATTCGTTCCCAGAATCATTTCCCTGGAAGGTAAGTCCTGCTGTGTCCACCCACATCTTATACATTGAGGCTTAGAGGCTGTGCCCTTGCCTAGATTGTCAGTACCTCGCTACGGCCAGAATCCAAGCCTTGATCTGTCTGGCCCTAGTACCCATGCATTTCTCTCCCTACACACACCACCTCTCTCTCCTAAAAGTCTTAATCATATCTTCGGAGTCTACCTGGTGTGCTGATCTGGAAGATGCCGCCCAGCCCAGCCCAGGCTTTCTGTGTGTGCATGTGTGGAATAAGTCTTGGCCAGCAGGAGACAACCTGTTAGCGCTGCCCAGTGCTTATGGACTCATCCTTGTTCTTGATGCACTTGTCTTTCTGGTCACCGCAAAACTAAAGGGGAGATGGTGGCCCTTTTCTGTGTCTTTGACATGGTAAATGGCAGCCTTATCTAATTTTTGGAAGACGGTGGGTAGAAATTCTATGAACTGAAGTTTCTTATGCAATTTTTGACACTGTCCGTGTTTGTGACTTTTGAATAGTCTTCAGGAGACATACGAAGCAAAAAGGAATGAATTTCTGGGAGAACTTCAGAAGAAAGAAGAAGAAATGAGACAGATGTTTGTTATGAGAGTGAAGGAGAAAGAAGCTGAACTTAAAGAGGCAGAGAAAGAGGTAAGCCATCTATCTGTCCTTTTTCAAGGGAGAGAAATAAGCAAGGTATTTTATTAATACTTCACATTTTATGAGACTTCATGCTGTTCTAAGTACCTTCTGCAAACATTTTATCACTTGCATGGCATACTGTCCTAGCAAGAAAAGCAGGTCAGATATTCTCATCCCCATTTTACAGATGATAAAACTGAGTTATAAAGGTTAAGCAATTTATGCAGTCATATACCTAGTTAATAGCAACGCTGAAACTAAAACTCAATCTTAGGTTTCATGACCTGGTCCCATTTTCTTTGTACCTCTGTATTTCCTCAGTATACACGTCTTGAAATATGAGATTTGAGATTCTGTGGTTATTATTATTTTCATAGTCTATCAGCCAATTCAGTTAGCTGAACAGTGGATGGCCCTTCGGCACTGATAGGTGATGGTCTCTGTATACCAACTATGTCAAACTTGAGGCATGCAGCCCGCCAGCTGTGAGTTTGACATGCTTTCCACTGTACATCTGCTCACACTTCCCTCTTTGTAGTTATGCATGCTCTACTCCAACATCCCTTTGACTTGTCTTATGACCAGGCCAAATTAACTGCTTCCTAGAAGTTCCCATGGATTTCTGCTTATAACAGTTATCCCAGAGAGAGAGGGAGAGAGGGAGAGAGGGAGAGAGAGAGTGGTCACTCATCCTATTGAGAGAGAGAGAAAGAAACAGAAATATGTTTGCCCCCAATGATAGATCATGAGTATCTCAAGTGCAATACATTTACAAATAAAACTGCTTAATTAATTTCCTCACTATCCTGATAAAGACAACTGAAACTTAGAGCCCTGGCTGGTTTGGCTCAGTGGATAGAGTGTCAGCCTGCGGACTGGAGGATCCCAGGTTTGATTCCAGGTTTGATCCCAGTCAAGGGCACATGCCCAGGTTGTGGGCTCGATCCCCAGTAAGGGGGTGTGCAGGACGCAGCCAATCAATGATTCTTTCTCATCATTGATGTTTCTATCTCTCTCTTCCTCTGAATCAATAAAAATATATTTTAAGAAAAGACAATTGAAACTTAGAGATTAAGAACTACTCTTACCACTAGGGTGAGTTTCTTATTAGGAGCATGGATATGCTTTTTACAATGAATATGTATTTTATTATCAGAAAACTAGAGGCCAGGTGCACGAAATGCGTGCACTGGGGGAGGGGGTGTCCCTCAGCCAGGCCTGCAGCCTCTCACAGTCCAGGGCCCCTCAGGGGATGTCTGACTGCTTCTTAAGCCGGCAGTTGGACAACCCTTTCGCAGTCTGGGACCCCTTGCTCCTTATTGCCCGCCTGCTCGCTGCTCCTTAGCGCTGCCATGGAGGCGTGAGAGGCTCCCGCCACTGCCACTGCGCTCGCCAGCCGTGAGCCTGGCTGTGGCTGAGTGGTGCTCGCCTGTGGGTCTGTGGGAGCACACTGACCACCAGGGGGCAGCTCCTGCATTGAGCATCTACCCCCTGGTGGTCAGCACACATTATAGCGACCGGTCATTTTGGTCGTTCTGCCATAACAGTCACTTAGGCTTTTATTATATACTAGAGGCCCGGTGCACAAAAATTTGTGCACTCGGGGGACAGGGGAGTCCCTCAGCCCGGCCTGTGCCCTCTCGCAGTCTGGGACCCCTCGGGAGATAATGACCTGCTGGCTTAGGCCTGCTCCTGGGTGGCAGAGGGCAGGCCCAATCCCTAGGTGCAGCCCCTGGTCGGGCTCAAAGCAGGGCCTGTTGGGGAGTTGGGCGCCTTCCCCTGTCATGCACAGAGCAGGGCAGATTTGGAGGTTGCGATGCCACCCTCAGTCATGCTCAGGGTAGGGCCAA